GAGCCTCCCCACCATCCAGCACACACCCGAATGGGATATAGACACTGGCCCGCCGTCTGTAAGTGAGGTCACAAAAGCTATCTGTAATCTGAAACGAGGCAAAGCGGCAGGACCCGACGGAATTATTCCGGAGATGTATAAATATGGGGGTGACACACTAGTATATAGTTTAACTAAGATACTAGGTAACGTCTGGGAATCAGGGACGGTTCCATCAGATTGGGGTAAGTCACTTATTATACCAATATTCAAGAAGGGAGACAAGTCCTCATACGATAATCTTAGAGGAATCAGCCTGACGAACATAGTCTCTAAAATCCTAGGCTCAGTAATCATGCACAGGCTAAGTCGAACTCGGGAGGAACAAACGAGGGAAAATCAAGCAGGCTTTAGGCCAGGTAGAGGGTGCATAGATCATATCTTCACTCTCCGACAGATCCCAGAACATAGACACACTTTTAGGCGGCCAACAATTGCCATATTTATTGACTTGAAGGCGGCCTTCGACTCCGTGGATCGAAAGGTACTATGGCAATGTTTGACTGTGAAGGGAGTGCCAAGAAAGTACATTGCACTAATCAAGGCATCTACTCAAACTCACGTACCTGTGTAAGGGCTTGTGGGGAATTGTCATCTGAATTGATAACAACCAGTGGTGTCAGTCAAAGATGTCCACTTTCCCCTTTTCTGATTAACTTCATCATAGATATGCTAATGGAAGTATCCTTAACTGAACTTAACGACTTAGGAATCGACTTGATACCAGGGAATAGTCTTATGGACTTAGAATATGCAGATGACATAGTCCTGTTAGGGAAGGATGCTGACAAAATGCAGAGTCTTCTGGACACATTGAGCAGCAATCTTCGTATGTTTGGCATGCGATTCGCCCCTGTAAAATGTAAGATGCTGCTACAGGACTGGACTACGTCAACTCCCAGCTTAGTGATAGAGAATGAAGTGATAGAACATGTTGACCACTTCACCTATTTGGGAAGTTGTATCAGCACCAACGGACTGATTGACGACGAAATCTCAGCACGGATCCAAAAAGCTCGAGTTGCTTTCGCTAACTTACGCCATCTCTGGCGTAGGCGTGACATCCGGCTATCAACCAAGGGGCGTGTATACTGCTCAGTATTTCGCTCCGTCCTTCTCTATGGCTCTGAAACATGACCAATACGAGTTGAAGACATGAAAAGGTTGACTGTTTTCGATCATAGATGTCTACGATCTCTTTGTCACATTAGGTGGCATAATAAAGTAAGTAATGTTAACGTTAGGCGTAGTGTTGGGCAAAGAGGGAAAATCAATCGACGAGGCTATAAAGTTACATAGACTGAGATGGCTAGGTCACGTGCTGCTCACGCCTACCCATCGCCTCCCCCGACGGGCATTACTAGCTGATATAGGTGCAGGTTGGAAAAGAGTAAGTGGTGGCCAAACAAAAACATGGCATCAATCCATGAAATCCTTGACAGTCAAACTGAGCCAGGTAGGGAGATGCAGACTTCCGTGTTGGGGCCCTCGGGACTCTAAGAATCAGTAGCTGGAGACACTAGGTGACATGTCTCAAAATCGTTGTCAGTGGCGCAGATGTATTCAGTCTCTGTAATATTGCATATTCCTTTCTGCCATTACTCATTCTGTTTCACTCTTATACTTGTCAAAACTCTATTGATTCCCTTCACTCATCTTCTTGTCTACTTTTGTGTGCTCTTTGGAACGTGGCAACTCGAACTGCTGCACTTCGGTGCCAAGTTCCCTGTTGAATCCAGCCATCCAGCCAGCAGACCTCCTTCAATGCATAGTCAGATGTCATACCAACAACAGAGATAACGCAAGTTGGGGAATGCAATACTAGCCTCGACTTAGAATACAGTGCATCAGTCGTGGCGTTTTACTATCTCAGTGATCTCTTTGCCAATTAAAATATTTCAGGCATAAAGCCTAACTAGTTAACAATTAAAGTAATGTAACAAGGAACAGTTTCATCGACATAGAGTATGTGGATGACATTTTCCTCCTAGGTGAAGACTCTGACAAAATGCAGTCCTCCCAACAACTTGAGCAGAAATCTTCGAGTCTTCGGAATGGTATTCGCCCCTGGCAGATGTAAGATAGAGCCGTTGGACTGATCTACGCCGACTCATGGCTTAAAGATAGGAAATTAAGTTGTAGAACGTGTTGACCGCTTCACCTATTTGAGCAGTTGAATCAGCCCCAACGAGCTGATTGGTGACAACACCTCAGCATCGATGCAGAATGCTCGTGTGGTGTTTCCCCACTCAACTCATTTCTAGAGTAGGTGTGATATCCGCCTACCGATCAAGGGATGTATGCACTGTGCAGAAATCCGCTCTGTCCTCCTTTATGGCTGAGACACATGCCCGATGAGAGTGTAAAACCTGAAGACAATAGTTGTCGTTGATCACATATGTTTGCGTCCTATCTCTCGTGTGAAGTAGTCTCATATGGTAGGTAATATTGGGCTTGGGCGTAGTGTTAAGTAAGAAGGACAAGCCAATCAATGAGGTGGTGAAGTTGAATTGAGATGTATAGGACACATGTTGAGCATCCCGAGCCATCGCCTTGCTTGACAGGCAATGTTAGCCCATATAGCATTGAGTTAGAAAAGCTCCGGGATTGATCAAACCGAATTATGACACAAGTCAATGAGGTCTTTGATAGTTGGTTTGAGTCGCGTAGTGAGCCATAGGCTGCTTGTCGGGTCAGCATCCTGAAGATGTTAAGAATGAATGGCTTGAGGATATTTGTGACATAGCTTGTAATCGTTGTCAGTGGCGCGGATGCATTCATTTTTTATCTATTCCTTTGAATAACTGCTTTTCTCTCGTTTGTCTACCTCTGTGTATTGCAACCTGGAACGCTTTACTTCCCTGAAAGCTCTGTTATTATTCAGACAGACAGTCAAATATTTTGAGTGACACTATTCCCGGACTAAATTCCACCTGACTTTTCAGGGTTCGTTTCTAACCTGGAGGTTCAGACTGTATGGTAGTCAAGTCAACCTTATATGATTATCACAGGAAGGCTTGTCTCTTCTTATAACCGGGATAATCAGTGATTTTCACCTGTACCAAACATTACCGATTATCTTAGTTAACCCAGATAAAATTTCGTCACCACCATTGTTAAAAATCTATGAAAAGTCGTCGCATCAGGTTCAGCTGCCTTGCATATTTTCAGATTAGAAACAGCTTTTCCAAGCTCACTTTCATTTGGAGGCCCGACGTCTAAATACCACTCAGTTAGGTTTCGGATGTTGATCGAACTGAGCTTGACGGTAGGCCAGTCTTCTATCTTGAGAGATAGTTAAGACGACGTTCTCCTCACAGTTAGTCTCGCTCATCATTTGTCTCTCACAACCAGTTTCTTTGATGAGCTCAAACAACTGTCTCGTGTAACCCGGCGCAGATGTCTTCTGTCTGCAAGCTCGGCCATCATGTCAAGGTAGCAGGCATCGGTCGGGAATTCCTCATTTCATCACGCTCCAACAGACTCTGGAATATACAGATACTTACTAGCGTCTAACTATTGCCGTACTTTCCTACCTAGAGGTGGCATTCCTTCTTGTGCAATGTAAGATGGCATGGGATTAGGTTGGGAAAGATTTATAAGTGGTCAAATCAAAACATGGCATCAATCCATGAAGTATTTGACTGTTTGCTGGCGGTACGCGGGAAGGTTCATACTACCTTGTGGGGCTCTCGAGACTCCAAGGATCAATAGCTGGAGACCATCAGTGACGTGGCTCAAAACCGTTCTCAACAGTGGTGATGCAGTCACTTTTTATGACGTCCCAGTTCCTCGTGTTTCTCTACTTAATTATTGCTTAAACCGTAGATTTCTGTTCATTATGGTCCTATTCTGCCGGAGACAGAACTTAACCGAAAACACCACTATGCTGTATAGCATTGTGCCAAAAATATCACTTAAATAACTGAAACACCAGCAAACCACAACAGCAGGTATTAATCTCCATCCACTGAAAATATATTTACATATTCAATCAAGACAAGATAAAATTTCAAGGTCAATGGAAGCAAACCAAGGAACGAGAAGTTTGCAATTGATTATTGGAATCGAATATCATGTCTGAGAATGCTTCCACTCATTTAAAGAAGGAAAACAAAATAAACGCTTTTAGGAATAAGGCATAGAAAGACTCCAGCGTATTTGAATGGTCAATATATCATTGAAAAAAGCATTCAATACTTGAGTGACTAATTGATGTACATATTAAATTATCCTCTTGGTAGAATGTACTCTGCAGAAGTCAAATGATTTGTACTTTATCTGGAGAACTGTCGTGCATCTTCAACTGTCTTCATCCATCTGTGTCTGTAGAAAAAGAAGCAAAACATAATGTTCAGCGACTACATATAAGTAGGGAATAACATATTCCACTTATTTGTGCTAGTCAGTGGCGCAGTGAGCTTTCTAGCCTGGTAAAAGCAGAGATAGTTTATCTATTATGGTTAATCCAGTGATTAACGCACTTGACGTTACTGTTTCCTTCAGTTGAAACCTTTTTTTATTTTTTTATTTACAGCTTGATTCCACACCGTATTTTCAGTACAGGTGTGGAATTTTCAGCATGTATATCGGTAGCCCAAATTCAGGCCGACCATAGATATCGGGTGTGCGCCGGTAGGGGATCGAACCACGGACCATGTGCATGGTTGGCGAGAGTCCTAACCACTGTGCCACCGACGCACATGCTATTACAACAATAAGCTACAAGATCAACAGTTACATTAATCCCTTCGAAAAAAATTAATAAATAACATAGGACAACTCATCCACGTTGTATATCTTGCAAACACAATTAATGTATTGGGCCTAGAGATCCAGAGTATTTCTTAATGGAATTTGAAGACATGAGTAGATGGTAGCTTGTCCAACAGTACAATCACCACTGTGTACTTGCTTAACCTTTTGACTAAATCAATTCTAAATTATTAGATATAATTAAATGGCACACAAAATGTTTTTGTAAGACATGAGAATACAATCCGGTAACCCAAACAAAAGTAAGCAGTGTCGAAACAGGTGGTTTCGAAGTCACTCTAAGAAACCAGCGATTATTGTGATTCATCTCAATTTAGTTTAGAAGATTAAAAATCTTGCACTGAGTAGCTGGGTCGCAAGACAACTTTTGACAATGTTTCTAAAACAATCTAATCATTAGGAATTAGAAGTCCGAGTGTTTATCACATTTCATTATTGATTCTCTGTTTCGGCATATGCAAGCACAGGATGGTAGCATAATCCGATGAAAGATTACCTGAGTATAATGACGATAATTAGGATGGAAATTATGAACAGCATCAACAAGTATATCTGTAGGGTCGATAGTTGCTTTGATACTCGCAGATATACTTGGAATTACATTTGAGTTTTGACTACTCCATAACTTTTCAAATCCATCATTATTCAATTGCCAGTCAACGATATCCCAGGGTAGTGGTTCACCATATCCTGCTGACGGTGCATAGCTAACAAATGTTGCTGGTGTTAAACGTGAATCACCTTTGTTCAAGTCTATTCTAGTTGAATCATTTGCTGCTCTGAAATCAACTGATGGCTTTGTAGTAAACATAAAATCGTCATTCAGCCAGTTCGAATCGTTCGAAGGAACATCAAATACAAGGCGAGGTGGATGACTACAAAGATAAAAAAACACGTAAGAGTGTAAGATTAAAAATAACTCAATTGTTAGTGAACGGCGTGCGTTCATGAGGTGTAATCTACCTCAGTTTTAAATATGAAGTGTGATGGAACCAGAGGTTTGGAAACGTTTTATTTTTCAAAGTAATAACATCCACGTTAGAAAAGTACATTATGTGTCGCTTTGTCGAAATTCACAAATATTTTTCCATTCCATAATGAAAACAATTTACTTTACTCAACACGCATGTTTATGCCACACACGCCGTATCAAAACCGGTAATACTTTTTCGGTGGCATAACCCTGGTAGGCTAAGAAAGCGGTTTCAAAACCCGTTGAACGTCCATTGTCAAAGGACAACTAGAAACGTTGGATCAGCAATAAACTCGGTGGACTTCATTCTGTTACGAATAAGTAAGCTTCGGCAGAATCAGTAATAAAATCTTAGAAATGCAAACTTATTATTATTGTTTGAATGCAGAAAAACTTGGTACAATATGGCACCAAGAAAGATGCACCACACAATAATAATAAAACAACATAGATTAAAAGTGAAAATTTAAGTAAAGAACGGATAAAGAACTTCATCTGGAAGGAAAACAGTCATGTTTAACAAGTTCAAGCAGTTTTCGTCAACTATCATCAGGAAGGGAAGAAAGAAGGAAATTGCAACACGTTCGCCATTGATTACGATTCTTGGCCATATCCGATAACGTTTCGAGCCGTCGATTCGAGCTGTCTCTCGGACCCTAACCAGGGAGTCATGACGCACCAACCGATGCTAATCTAGCACAAATATCCTTCATCCCACGACACCGCGTCATGGACTGACCACCCCTCCGCCTTTTCCATCCCGCCCCAGGGCTAGCGAACAGAGATCTATACGACACTCAATGAATGGTGATCTCCACTGTGTTCAAACAGACGCCGCCGAACCTCAGAATTACTCACGCGATGATGTCATCGAACGCAAGCAATCCTGCGGAGAAAGCGATGATCGAACACGCAGAGTCGCCGCACATCCTCAGCTCGGACAGGCCAGGTTTCACTGGCGTAGAGCAAGACAGCCCGCACCGAAGCATTGTATACCCGACCTTTGATAGCTAACCTAACGTCGCGCCAGAGATGGCTCAATTTGATGTATGCCACGCTAGCCTTCATTATACGGTTGGAAATCTCATCCATCACCCCTCACTTATCAACAACTTCAAGTGGTTCACCCGCAAGAGTGAGTGCAAGTACAGGCTCCTGCCAATCTAGTAACAGAACTCTGCACTCAGACTGTGCAAAGCACATACCATATATACAGACACTGATCGTCAACTGTTTAAGTGCGATTGGGTAGCCTGCGTGCTATCGCACAGTAAGACGATATCGTCTGCATACTCGAGGTGGAGAAGTCTTTCTTCAGAAAGCAGATCTACACCACCACCACCACCACCACTTACATCCTTCAGAGCTGACTCCAGAATGTCATCGATGGCAAAGTTAAAGAGAAATGGAGAGATCGGGCAACCCTGTCTAATCCCACTGTTGGTTGGGAACAGTGATGATAGTTGCTTGCATGCCATAACTCTACTTGAGGTGTTTCTGCATAGGGCCTTCAAGATGTTAACAAAGTTCTCAGGTACACCTCTCTCTAACAAGACAGTTCCAGAGCACAGTTCTGTCCAACGAATCGAAGGCAGCCCCAATATCAAGAAACACAACGATCGTTGGCCTGCAGTACGTGTGGCTATGTTGCAACAACTGACGAAGGGTGAACACATGATCAATGCATCCATGACCTGAACGAAACCCAGCCTGCTTTTCGCGAATCAATTCTTCATGTGTTTTGCACAGCCTGTGGAGCAAGACAGCAGCCAACATTTTAGACACGACTAGTAGCAGACTGATACCCCTATGATTGTCACACGAATTACGTCAACCCTTTTTAAAGATGGGGACGATAATGGCTTCGTTCCACATTGACGGTACACTCTCTGTCTCCCATACCTTCCTGAACAACCCAGTTAAGGCCATTGTGAGAGTCTCGCCACCATTTTTAAAAAGAGCCGGGGGTAAATTGTCTGGGCCGGGCGCCTTATGGCGTTTTAACACTTGGAGTTGCTTACGGACCTCCGCTTCGGTGGGTGGGTCGGTATTAACCGACCAAGGAGCACTGGGGCTAATGACAGCAGACATTGAAGCTGGTGGCCAGCTAAACTCTTTCTCGAAGTGCTCTGCCCAACGTTTCAGGCGTGTTTTCATGCTGGTAATGGGCGTGCCATCTGCCTCAGACCGCCTCGCTGACCCCTCTTGTTTCTTGCTGCCGGTGGCTCGGATGAGCTGGAACAGCTTCCGACTGTTGCAGATGCAACAACTGACTCCATCACACACGAACGTTCTGACCACCAGGCTTCGTGGTCCTTACATAAACTCTGTCTAATCTTGCGCGTAAGCACCTTTCGCTTATTGCTGGACTCGCTGCCAGCCGGAATGGACCGGCGTTCACCCAGGAGTTTTAAGGAACTCACAGAAACCCAGTGAGTTTTAGCGAAGCATTCTTTCAAGCCGCAAGCGGATACACTCGCCATTTGTATGGCACCTTGCAGATAAAGTCAATGTTCATCTATACTACTTGGAGGGTTGCTGGCAAGCATTGATTGTAACTCATTCTGATATTTCAAACAAGTAGCAGGTGTTACTAGTTTGCTCACATCAACGTTTAGACGACGCCTTTTATGAACCCCACCAAATCGCAAGACGAACTTGGCACACACTAACGCATGATTGGAGTCCAGGCATGTGCTCCAGAAGGGGCGACAGTCTTGCATGCATCCTCGCCACCGGAAACTGACGGCAATATGATCAATCTGAGTCCAAGTTTGATTCGCGGAAGAAGTACGCCCGGCAGCGCCACGGCGACGGCCGTGCCGGAAGTTGGTGCTGGCTAGAAATGGGTTGTGATCTGCACAAAGTTATAGTAGGCGGTCCCCGTTATCTGACCCGCGACCATGTCAACTGCACTGACCACCCACACGATTCTCCTATGAGCTTAGACGCCCAACCTGCACATTTAAGTCACCAACTAGCACTACGATATCCTTCTGACCCGCCTTTTTCAAGAGATCGCCCCTGGTGAATCTGACACTTCATAGAAGCCTCCAGATGGACAATATACACGCTAACCTCCTGGCTGCCATCAGCACACAACTGGAAAATTCATCTCAGCGGCTGGACACTGAATCCACTCGACAAATTATTCTGCGACTATATGCGAATGATATTACTCTTGAGGAGACACGTCAACCTTTGGATAAGCAGGCCCACCAACTGTTCCCTACAAAATGGAAACCATCCAAGCAGCGATACGTCTCCGGTCTCCCACCGAACTTAAACGACAAGAAGAGGCGACGCATTCTATATGCCCACATGCAAACGCTCTTCCACCGTTCGCCGAAAGACGCTGCAAACACAGTACTTGGTGGCAGGTGGAGAGACCCGTTTACATGTCAGCCTTCCACTATAGGAGGCTTCAATGAATTTTGGATAGACACCTTCACACGCCCAGCCCTACCAGACACTAGACCGGTCCAGGAATACCTTCCAACTAACAACGACTTGATCGCCCCAGTTTCAACTGATGAGATCAAATGGGCACTAAAAGAAATGGTCAAATCCGCCGCAGGTGTCGACCGCACAACCGCCAGGGACCTCCAGAAAATCAACCCCACTAGTCTGGCTGGGTATCTTAACACTCTTTTGCTGACGTCTTTTTTACCTTCACCTTTGTCAGCTTCCAGGGTCACCTTCATTCCGAAGACATCACATCCCGATAACCCTACCGACTTCCGGCCTATCTCCATCACTTCTGCTGTTACGCGCTGTCTGCACGAGATTATCACCAAGCGATGGTCCAGATCATTCCCAATGGAAAAACTACAGTTTGCCTTCCTGCAATGTGATGGCTGCTTCGAAGCAACCAATCTACTTCACGCCATCTTGAGAGAAGCGCACTCCAACTACACAAGTTGCGCATTAGCTATCCTCGACATCTCGAAAGCTTTCGACAGCGTCTTACATCAAACAATTCTAAGGGTGGCTGAGAGTTTTGGTGCGCCCCCAATGCTTAGAGAATATCTTACAAACTACTACTCCAACTCCTACAGTCTCTTCCACGAAGTGAATTGTCATCCAACATGAGAAGTCAAACAGGGTGACCCTCTGTCACCGCTTCTCTGCATCATGACTATGGATGAAATACTCAATGTTCTTGAAGCCCATGACCCCATCTACGTCGATGGCCATCCTCTGCACTACATAGCATATGCTGATGATCTCATCATCCTGGCTCCAAATGCTGCGGCTCTTCATAACAAAATCCAGGACAAAGCGATTTGCTGGGAATGACGGAACGCTGAGAGTACTACAAAAAACCGCAGAGTGATCAGAATATGTTGAGGACAACGAGGAGATATTTCAACGTAAACTTGGAAAACTGCGTAAATTTCCAGAGCAAAATTAACGAAAGTTGAGAAAAATAGGGCCTATTAGGAATAGAAGCTACAGCGGGATATGGTGAAATTTGAAGATGTACAGAGAATAGACAGTGCAGATTTAGGAAAATTTGATCAGGGGCTCAGAGGGGTGAAAGGGACGAAGGTACAATTAGACAAACAGCGGGAGTAGCACAATATTTTGAAAGGATGCTAAAATGTGGTCGAAAGCTACCCCTCATTGAAAAGTTTGGGAGAAAGCAAAAAGCTCCGGATCTTTTGTAAAAATAAAGAAATAGTGTTGACAATTTGGAATCTGAGATGTATGTAGAAGTTTAGCTTTGGAAAGAGGCAGCAGAACTCTCCTGTTGGGGGATACTATGCGAAGAGGGGGCTCACAACTTTTACACAGGCGATAGGAGTATGAGGCTTTTCGGTCTACACGGTTAAGAATGATGAAAGAAGTTGTTTTGGATGGTTCAGGACAAAGATATTTGGACAGAGAAGAACAAGACTGAATAAATTTGAAGTATTATAGGTGGTATTAGAAGCAAAAGTGGTAAAAGGTCTCGTGGAGGGAAAGAGAAAGGTTATGACGAGACAAAAAGTGGCTTCGCTCTTACTAGATAGACCAGGGGAGATTAAAAGCAAGGACCAGTGTTGTCACTGTCACTAGATCAGAAAATCCTTTGTTGAGTATAAAGTACTTTTTCGGCCGAAATGGCTAAAAGTACCAGAAACAAAATGATGTGGAATAGAAATGGACAAATAATGAGGATAAAATATGTATCAAAAGATTCGGCTCGGCGAGCTGCAACCGATTATTACAATTTCAGAAAGTTAGAATGAGATGAAAAAGAAATGCTGGGTGAGAATAGTGGAAATTTACCGTTTTTCAGTTAGATACTGGAAGTTAATAACCAAAAATCGTGAGTTGAAGGAATTCCTTGGTAAAATGTATTTGAAAAGAATGGGTTTGGGGACTAGTAACACCGCGTCAAAAATAATGGAGAAATAAGTTACAGTTCAGATGAAACTAACGAAAAAGTAAATTCCGAAAATCAGGGTTCAAGGTAGATTCGGATTGTCACACAATTGAGACGACCGGTGATGAAAACGTCAGATGATGTTTTTTATCATCAGAGCAACCAAACTTTACGCGAGAAAAGAGTATAAATGAGAAAAGGGAAAAAATAAATTTCAGCTTTATTAAAGTCCTAGGAAGTTGAGATAAAATAGAGTATAAT